GGGGGGGGGGGGGGAGGAGGTGTTACAGCACATTTATTTCACTAGAAAGGGATAATTCATATCGTTTTGCCTTTTACAGTCCGTGTTTGTTTACTGCATTTAAATCTTGCTCTAGTTGCTTAAAACTCTGCCCAGTATTTGGACAGGGTTTAGAAGAACAAAAGGGCATGTTTAGGGTATCCCATTATTTTTGAAGGAATTTCAGAATTTGGAGGGATTCTTGTAGTTTGTACGAATCACAGGGTTTTTGAGGAATCCCAGGGTTTTTGAAGAATCCTAGGGTTTTTGAGGAATCTCAGGGTTTTGTATGGGATCCTAAGGGTTTAGGAGGGATTTCAGAGGTTTTGGAGGAATCCCAGGGTCTGCGGAGGGATTACAGAGTTTGAGAAGAATCCCCACATTTGGAGGGATTTAAGTCAATTGAAGGGATTTCAAGGTTTGGAAGGGATTAACTGAGATGTATTATTATAGGGTTTAGGATGGATTACATGTTTTTGAAGTAAGAGGCGTAGAGGTTTGAATTGCTGTTTTTCATCGTGTTTTCCTGAAAGATAATCTTCCATTTGTGAGTAAGCACGGAGAAAATAGTTTTCTATGGAGGAAATACAGGGTGTCCCAATAAACATGAGAATTGAGCAAAGAATTCGAAAAGTAAAAACATCATGATTTCATTTTATGAAAACGTAAAATTTGGATTAAAGTTTTCTCAGTGGGTATCACATATTCACTATCTTGACTTTATCACTATACTAAATAAAAATCATTCAAAAAGACAATTTCGAACTCGAACTCTCATTGAAAACATAACTCGTGAGTCGTGGAAAAATCGTGGACAAGTCGTTTGTAGTACCAAAGGGCTTGGTAATATAAAGAGTAGGCATTGGGATTTTAAAATATCAAAGGTGTGCACCATCTGGTTGCACAGATATTGGGATCAGAAGATTTGAGTTTGTGGCAAAAACCAACAATGATAACTAATATTGATATTTTGATATTTGATAACTAAAGTTTTAACGTTGATCGTTTGAATTTAAAACCAATACTGCACCCAATGACGTCATATATAAGTGTACAGAGCGTACACAGTACACACTATTTGGATAAATGCCTAATGCCCATTCCTCTACTATTGGACCATCTTTGAGTAAATCCCACTTGTATGAATAAATATTAAAATGTTTAATAAATACCATAATTCAACTTAAATTGTTGACAAACAGATCTTTTTGAATGCATTTACTTAAATTCCTGATGGCTTTGTACTCTTCTTTAAAGAAATGATTTGAGAGATGATTGGAGATGTATAGGATTCCATAACGAAGCAAATTTTTGCAGAAATTGTGGAATCTCACTTGACCCCAGTAAAGATTTATGAATCATCAGCGTTCAACAATTGGGCCGGAAAAAATTTTGGTATTCCCTATTCTTAAAACTGCACTAAAATAAACAAACAAATCTGGGTTTTAAAATTACATGAACAACATTTAATTACTAAGATTGTTGAGATTAAAAGGAACGCGAAGCGGCCTAAAAGCCTAAAATATGAGGCTACTATTAAAAATAATTTAGAGGAAAGTTTTATTTATTCTACAGCTGCGGGTCCCATTTCACTTTGATAAGTAAATTAATAATTAGTAAAGAAAATATTATTCTCTGCAAAGTAGATGAAAACACTTCTATGGAGCTTCCAGGGAAACACTGGACAATGGCATAAATTGAAAAAATCCACAGAAAGCTGAGAATTCAAAATTTCAAATAAATATTCTGAAACTTGTGTACAGGGTTTTATTTTAAGGGTATGTTGTACCCTTAAAGTGAGGAAAAGTTACATTTTCTTTTCTTTCTTTAATGTTATGGCTCTGCAGTCGCAGAACCTCAACGAAACAAAATAAATTATTTCTCTGATCAGAAATATCTAATCTAAGCTTCTGATAGAGTCAAAATTTTCAAACTAAACCTGAAGCTGGAGCTCATTAAACATTTGAGAAAAATATGCTTGTATCAATGTAAAAATACGTAAATAAACAGTACGTACATAAACCTTGCTGGAGCTCATTAAACATTTGAGAAAAATATGCTTGTATCAATATAAAAATACGTAAATAAACAGTACGTACATAAACCTTGCTGGAGCTCATTAAACATTTGAGAAAAATATGCTTGTATCAATATAAAAATACGTAAATAAACAGTACGTACATAAACCTTGCTGGAGCTCATTAAACATTTGAGAAAAATATGCTTGTATCAATATAAAAATACGTAAATAAACAGTACGTACATAATGTTTCATGAAGTATTAGTATTTCTAATGAAACAAAATATAAAAGATTAAATATTTTTTTAATTGTTTTCTATTATAAATAGAAATTATTAAATATCTTGTTCTTAGAAAATAAATTTCATCTTAATATTTCAAATTTACTAAAATATGTTTTAATTATCAATTAAGATGAATTAAATTCAAATTGCTTTTCAAAAAATAAAAGGTGCTCGACTTTAAAAAGCCTGTTAAAAGTATTCAAGCTTATAGTATACACTTTTCAAAATTAATAATTAATTTATAAATCTAAACCTTTAACCTGTGATACATCTCTTTCAACAAAAATTGTGTCAAAGACAGAATTTAAGAACTTCGTTTGATTTTACTTAAAAGAAATGAGTCCTTGCCACAAACTCTGATTTTTTACCCTTTTATCCTTAAGCCCAATGTCATGAACCTTAGCTATTTCAAACTATGAGTTGAGTAAGATCAAATAATTTAAGTTTGAAATATAAAAAGGTTTACATCATTAGGTTTCAAAGACATTGCTATTAGAATCAGAGTTTGTGGCAAAGACTCAATTCATTTACGTCGTAGCTAAATATCTTTTAAAAAAATAAGCATTTAAAAGCAGTGATTTCTAGAAATGAATGGGGTATCGGCTCATCCCGAATTGAATTCGGTTTACAAATAATTTCACTTCTATCTGTTAACACCGCGAAAATAAAATTGTTTAAAATGTTGGAGTCAAAAAAATCTAAAACATTAAATCGTTGATTTTTTTTTACAAAATTAAATGCTAAAATTCAAAATGTTTAAGCTTTGTGTTGTTTTCTTTAGAGATCAGCAGCAGGCACTTCAACTTTCAAGACTACAGCAGGTAATCTTAATAAATATATCAATACTGATAATAACAACAATAAAAATCAAAAAGAATAGAAATAAAAATAATAATAATAATAAAAATAATAACAATAACAAAAATTCCAATTTTTTTAGTTTTTGAAAACTAGAATATTTAATGAGAAGGTTAATATTCTTACATTGCTTTACATCAATAGAAGAGAGGTGATTTCTTATAAATTACAATTATTTACAATTATACTTTACACGGAAATTAAGGGTAATTTTAATTTACCAAGGGATCCCAAGACCAGTTTTGATTACAAAACATCCATAGCGCAGCGAGGTATGTTTTGTAGACATAAATGGTCGAGAGAACCTGTGGTTAAGTAAAACTTTTAGTTTCCCGCTAAAGTAGTTGTACACACTTTTATCGTCTTTTGAGATGAAGATGAGCGAATTTTTTTCCAAAAAATTCGCAGAACGGATGGTTATTTTTACATTCCTGTCACAAGGGACGTTAAGCAACTTAGCTTCACTTTGTTAGGGGAATCATAGGTCGGTAATGTTGGTCAACAGGTGGTAAATAGTTTATGTCCAGGCCTGATTGACTATTATTTAAAAAGCAGATTAGTTTTTGATTCTCACTTGGACATTAGAGTATTTTATTTTCGATTCTTTTACTTAAACTGTTGAAAAAATCTAATTTTTTTTAAACCCTGATTCCGATTGGGGTAATTTTTTTCTGATATATAGATAGAGATAGAGGATCGTGTTACATTTCCCTGAAAATTAACTTCTTACAATGGTTAGGGTCACATATTTTTTACATCCATTTTTCAATGGCTTTTCAAATAAATTTTAGTTTATTTTTATTTTTTTTTATTATGAACTATTTTCTATTTTATTTTAAAACCGCCCAGCCGTCTGACCGACCTCTACCCAACCTTGTATAAAAAATGCTAAATTTGTTCAAAATTAACTATCAAGTTGATAAAGTTCAAATAATTCACAGATTTACCCGCAAAAGAATTAATTTAAATGACGACCTCCAACTCTGTGAATGAAATCGTGTTTTGTCTGGAAATAATTTTCAACGGACTACCCACGGTCACAGAACAGAGATTAGAATAGTAGGTAAATAAGACTACCCAAGAATGTAATGCAAGGAAAGATAATTGCGGTCGCGTATACTCTGCGTACACATTGAAACCAGTTCTCTCTGGGCGGAATTTGTAAACAAGAATAGATGCATTAGTGTTCGTTTAGTTTCCGAGGAGGTGAAAAGCATTAAATTTTGATAATTTTGATAATTGACATAATAGTTTCCTATGACCAGAATATTTCATTGATTTCTTTATGTGAAAGATGGATCCCATGTCAGGCTTCGACATCCTTCTTGTGTTTACATTATCGCCCAGAGACAGTACACTGCAGTACAAAAGATGTGTACACTTCTGAAATAACTTTCCTTGCATTACATCCTTGAGACTACCCCTCGATATGAATTTGTTCAGTCCCTTACAGCCTGAAAAGGAGTTCAAAGTGTACAATTGATTTAAATGTTCACAAATAATACGCTTATGAATCACAATAAAACAGTATGATCCCTGGACAAGCTTATCTTAAAATGAACACGGGAAAACGTGAAAGGTTGTCACCGAATTGATTTAGAGAAAATTAAATAATTTTTAAGATCATTTTTTATCAATAAAAATATGTTCCAGGGCCCAATAAGATTTTACAGCACAAATGTGTGAAGTACACCTGCAGTATGAAAACAGTACATCAAAATGGCGTTTTTTTCGACTTAATTCCCCTCTATATCAATCTATTCTCTTTGGGATTAACTAATTAGTATGACTACAAAACAGAAAAATTGCATGAATATGCGTGAATGTATGGAAAACATTGAATATATTCCGACACTCGTCTCTGACATCTCAGTCTTTGTGGGTTAGCTATACTTTTAATTAAGATTGGTTCTGCATACAGCTGAAGATGATTAGAGAATACAGCAATTAGTTCGTTTTCTCATTTATTATTATTACTTCAAGCAAGTATTATTATAGAATATATTAATTTTCGGAAAATAATATTGGTTGTATCCATCCTGCTCATGCATGTACAATATGCATGTACATTAATTGTCCCTTCCACGACTTTTATTTTACTTTTAGCCTGCCACGGATCCTATCCGTCTTTTAACGTTCGGTACACTGTCCAGTGTACACTGTACAACAGTACAAAACATGTATTCAGTCCCTGCACGACCAAATTAATTTGGTGGAGTCTTTCGGCGCTAGATATTCTCTTAGATCGGATCCTTATTCCTTATCGTTAATCTTGATTTCGATATCCAATGTGAGCACTTTTCAAATTTGCAAATCAATGCTTGATTCGCTCATTTTAGTTAACCCTTTTGGGTATGACCACCCACAGGATGTCTTAGAGAAATTAAATGAATTTATAAGTCTCAATAATGAACTTAATGCTCCCAGATTGACAAAACAAGAAATCAGATCTATCTATATTTAGATATCAGGGTTCATTGATTTAAATGCTCGAGGTAAAATGGAAAACTGTCTTCCTTACATTCAAGGTAATAGGATAACTCACCTTAATAACAGCTAGTGTTGTTAACAACTAGTCTAGATAACAACTGGTCTTGTTAACAACTAACCTTAATAACAGCTAGTGTTGTTAACAACTATAATAACGATATTCTAATTTTAGGAACTAAACTCATACTTCCGAAGGTAAACTATAAATCTTAAGAATTATTTACATTCAAGACTTCTTAAATTTTCATAGAAATAGAATTTAATTTAGATCTACAATCTAGGCGACAAAACAAATCTTTATTTGTATTAGACTTTAAAATTTTCCATTACAAATAAATATTTAATATCTTTCTCTAAAATAATTCTAATAACACTTGAGTGTAGAAAGAAAAAAAATTTTCACTCGCCATAAACTCTAATCTTGTAATCCTCTACACCGATATAAACTAATGTAGCTGAATTTTGATTTTTTAAACTTTAAATTCTGCTCGATCAAATATTCGATATTTAAATTATACAAGTTTTACAATCTATGTTTTATAACATCGGTTGTTTCCAAAATTAAGAGTTTACACTTTTGCATTAATAAACTTGGGTGAAAAGATATACAAATACATTTGATTTGAATGATGATGATGATGATGATGATGATGATAATGATGATGATGATAATGATGATGATGATGATGATGATGATGATGATGATGATGATGATGATAATGATGATAATTGTTTTAAGAATTTTTACTTTAAGTGATAACCAGAAAACGATGGAATAGAAAGACGACATTATAGCAATACTCTAGCGTTTCAAAGCAAACATTTTTACAAGTAACTTATCAAAGGACAACTTAAGTGAAAAGGGTCTATTTACACTATTACATTGCTATTTCTATTGTTCATTGAACTTGTATTAGTCCCAACTTGAGCTTAAAAGTCGTCTCCCATTTTCAGAGTTTTCTGGTTATTACTGTATGAAAATAAATGTTTTGGTACTTTAGAAGCTCAATCTACACGCTTTTACACATTCTTTGTTGATTTCATGGATTAATCACAATACAGATAAAACACTAGATGTCGTCTTTTCAAGATTTTGGGGCTTTTCGTTCAAAATAACCCTGAGGCAGAAGCCCAAAAGGAGTTACGCACATGCTGCGTTGAATTACAAGACAGAGAGAGAGCCTGATCTGACTCCTTTGAGCTTCCTGACCAGGAGGGAAGACAGTATCCTAACTGTGTGCTCAGTTAGCTGTACTGTAATATTGATATACAGATATTATATAGGTTAGGAAAGAATCTCCTTATAATAAACAAATATGCAGTACGCTCTCGGTATAGTTCATGGCCTATGCAATTAGTAAAGGATTAGCGTACATCATCACTCTAAACACTATAACCTCGTTGCTTCTGCCTCAGGGTTTTTGTGTACGAAAAACCCCAAAATCTGGAAAAGATGACATCTAGTATTCTTTCTGCACTATTATTAATCTATGGTTGATGTAAATACGTCATTTAAAGAGTCATATATTTGAAGAAACAAAAAGTATCTTTCTATTTTGAATTTACATGTGCATTGTGTATCCTTTAGACCTTCGTCTTAGCAAATCAAAAATACCCTTGTGTTTTTTCTCTCTGAAAATTGATAATTTTTAGTTGTGATTTCTCTGTAAATTTAACTTATTCGGCAGAAAGAAAGAAAGAAAGAATTATTGACAGATTTCAACACATTTTAAGATAAAAACGACGATATCGTCATCATTGTTGCTCGAATAAAGGTTTAAAGGGAACCGTTGTGAATTGAACAAGCCCTTTTGTAATTGGAGGGGCACCTGAAATTTCACCTACAGTCCATTTAAGAGTTTAACTATTAAAATATGAATAAACATTTTAACGTCAATAATTCAATATATTTTGCTACTTTTACAACAAAAAGAACAAGTTAAGTGCGTTTAATTTCTATTTCTAGCCTGGAGATTTAACCTACGTCAACATTACGAGTTCTAAAATTTTCTCCTCCAACTCTATTCACTGGGAGGTGGGTATACTGTAAATTGTTTAAGAACTGTTTAATCTGGAGAAAACGGGCTGAAAAGGTGAATCTATGTAAGAAAGTCCCGGGAAAAACAGTTTCTTGAAAAAAAACCTGGAAATAAAAACTTTGGAAAAAAGGCCGAATTTTCTCAAGTCCTTGGAAAAAATGTCACAGGAAATAAAGTCCTGTGTTTTGGATTCCCGGGAATTTTTTTCCTAATATAGTATGGGGGCTGCCAATAAAGTCTCAGAAAATAAGATCTCAGGAAAAAAAAGTCCTGAAGAAAATAAATCCGAGGAAAAGAAAAACATAGAAAAAAAAGACTTTTTTCCATTGTGAATCATGCATTTTCAATTGTTTAAAATCATACTGGAGCCAGAAAAAAAGTCCTAGAAAGGACTTTTTTTCCACAGGACTTTTTTAGTGTGAAATTTTAGGACTTTTTTCCGGTTACCGAAAAGGTAATTTCAAGTAATCCTCCATTGTTAGAGTCATTTTTCAGATTTACAACGGTATACTTAAGCTTTATTGAATCAAGAATCAATAAGATATGCATGTTTTATCTGAAAATTGATTAATTACAAGTTTGGTCCTCTACAAAAATTTACTTTCAGCTGAATAGGACCAAAAAATTTTAGAAAATCTTTAAAATACCATTTTGTAAGGATGGGACGATGTTTTCCTTAACACTGGAAGGTCACTTAAAATCACATTTACTAACCCTTTAACCCTGTCAACCAATATGTTTTAGGTGTTTATTCTACAGAATAACTTGAATAACTTGAATGTGTTTGTTTGTGTCAAAGAATTTTTGTGTAAAAATGTAAATGTTTTTCAATGTTCGGTTTCATTTTTCTTCTGTAAAAATTAATTTAAAAAAAATATTTTTAAATGTTCTTTTATATGCAGCGTTGTTGTCGGATCAAAATCGATAATGCAGAAACTCTTTATTTCCTAAAAAATATTAAATGTATAATGATAAATAATTATTACAATGGTTTACGAATTTTATAATGAAAAGATTCTTACGATCTATTTAAGTATCTGTGGGTTTAACTGTCAGGGAGTCCTAAGACGTTTTTTTTATACATTAAAACTTCTGAAAAGAATGACAATTAAATGTTAACGAAAGTCACTAATTTTTTATATGAAATATTCTTTGCTTAACTTTTGAAATGGGTTCACAATTAATAAACATGTTTAGACTCCGTTGTCGGAGAACAAAGAGAAGCGGGGCTAAAATTATTTGGTTTGGTTTAGGAAACTCTAGGTTTTGTAGGTTTAGGAAACTCTAGGTTTTGTAGGTTTAGGAAGCTCTAGGTTTTGCAGGTTTAAAGACGACATTACATGGATGAGAGAGGTTGGAGTGGTGTCATCGGTTCCTAGTTCCCCATCCAGGTTGCGGACGTGGTTGGTGGGCGTTAGGCAGATCATACAATCTTGCATGTTGCAGGGATTGTTTCCTTCCTTCCTGATGAGGGGTTTCAGGAGGAAGGTCGTTGAGAGTGTGAGGATGCTCGTGTTGAGGAGTAGTTGGGTTCATCTCGAGGCTTTCTTGAAACTTCGACACTTCTGTAGATCGAAATGTTGTCAGATAGGAACAAGATTCTGACAATGAACAGATAGACAACGGAATAACCCTCAAATCAAAATCAATAATGCAGAAACTCTTTATTTCCTAAAAAAATTAAATGTATAATGATAAATAATTATTACAATCGTTTACGAATTTTATAATGAAAAGATTCTTACGATCTATTTAAGTATCTGTGGGTTAAACTATCGGGGAGTCCTAAGACATTTTTTTTATACATTAAAACTTCTGAAAAGAATGACAATTAAATGTTAACGAAAGTCACTAATTCTTTATATGAAATATTCTTTGCTTAGCTTTTGAAATGGGTTCACAATTAATAAACATGTTTGACTCCGTTGTCGGAGAACAAAGAGAAGCGAGGCTAAAATTATTTGGTTTGGTTTAGGAAACTCTAGGTTTTGTAGGTTTAGGAAACTCTAAGTTTTGTAGGTTTAGGAAGCTCTAGGTTTTGCAGGTTTAAAGACGACATTACATGGATGGGCCCCAGGGGGGTCTTATAGTTAATGGTTGACAAGCGTTTAATACTGTTAACGTTCAATATAAGCAAAAGCTTCCAAAAAACTGTTTTGAAAATAAATGTCTGCAGTCCCTTAAAAGTTTTCTTTATTTTAAACCAATTCTGTTTAAGCAAAACAAATTATTTTCAGATATCCCCCCCACGTACTGTAATATGCAGAATGACCTTTAAAAGTGGAATACACAGCCTGTACAATTAGTAAAGGATTAGCGTACATCCTCACTCTGACGCACTCCATTATATTGAAAAAGTTTGAAAATGCACAAACAAACAAAAATGGTGCCTCAACGCTTAACCGCCAAGCTAGACTTACTATAGCTGCAATTCTTGAAGGTCTTCCTTAACAATCGTTAAAAAAGGGTTGTCATTTACAAATGTTAACAGAGGGTCGTCGTTAACGATTGTGAAAGAAATGACAAACGTAATGAATAACAATAGTTTTTAAAAACGATCATTTCTAAAATGACTGTTTTTTAAAAATGATATTTTTAAAAACGATAATTTTAAAAACGATAATTTTTGAAAACTATCATTTTGTTTTAATTTTTTTCGTTGTCTTTTCATAACGAAACAATCGTTTAAAAAAAAGAATCTCTAGCTACGATCACATGAACTATCTACACCACTACCACGAGGGAGGGGGTGCAGAGGTGCGATGATCCCCGCAAAAATGACCTCTGCGCCTCAGGATTTGCAGAATTACAACCAGGCCCCGCAAAACTGGTCTCCCAGCCTCCATGACGTCACCAAGCCTTCCACCATTCTGTCTCCACGCCCCGCCTTTTGGCTCCAATAAAAAAATATTTGGCTTTTATTTCCACCAAGAACCTTTTTTTTAAAATTCTCAACATGATGAAATAGTTCAGATTGATACATTAACATTTTGTATTAAAAAGTGAATTTTAATTGAGATTAAAGGCTTGTATTTTGTTTTTCTAAATTTCACAAATTCCATAAACTATTGCAGTTTTGTATAAAGATAAAAAATTTTTACATTATTTTAGAGGGGTCTCATATAGGATTCACACAATATCAGCAGCAATTTACAAAACAAGGTAGTTTTTGTGAAATCCTTGTATTTATGATTTTATTGTATGCTTTAGAAAATATTGAAGAACTATTTGTTTTTAAATTGAAACAAAGAATTAAAATACTCTAAATATCTATTACATGCTATACTAACAGGTTATAGGGCAGCTTCATGTCATATATTGTTGTTTTAATAAGTTAAATTTAATTCTAAATAATTTTTTCTTTTAGCGAGAGAATTCATTTATTTGACTGAAAAAATTGATATACAGAGGTGGGAGGGGGGGAGGGGGGGGGTGCGCAAAAACTTGTATATTATAGGACAGATCCTCATTAATTTGCATTTTTATGATAAAATGTAATGCTAAGGAATCAAGAGTTAATAAAATCTTCAAATCATTATGCCTTCAAAAATATTAGATAAGTCGTTCATAAAGATAGTCTTTTACTCATTCCATCTTAATGTAAACTTTTACAGAAAAACAACTCCAGAACAATTGAATGAATTAACATGTCAAAATTGTTGATTAAACGGTTCTTTACACTTTGACGGACTCTACTATGAAGAGATATATTTTGATATTTGTTTGGTTAATCCAATAAATTTAAACAAAAATAAAAACAACAAGCGGAGACCAAAATGGGGGGCATGGTGACAGAATGGCAGGGGGCTTGGTGACGTCACGGAAGCTGAGAGACCAATTTTGCGGGGCCTGGAGGTAATTCTGAAAATCCTGAGGCTTGGAGGTCATTTTTGCAGGGATCATGGCGCCTCTGCACCCCCTCCCTCCTACCACAGGCGTACTCTTGTTAGCTACGTCAACCTAACAATAGAAATCAATTGATTAACGTCTCAAACAGGACACAATCTCAACTCGTATGTTTCAACAAAAACCTAATTACTCTCAACACTGTATCAAAGTGGAGTTTCTATATTAACTAGTTTATTTTAGATATATTATATTACAAGTTAATATGAATTAACATCATTACAAGTACTATGCCAATATATATATATACAGCGTAGTTTAGGTTTAATTTACATGTTTATAACGTAGTTAAGCTATCTCCCCATATATTACAGCATAGTTTAAGTTGAATGTACGTATTTAGAAGATTAACATGGATTGGTATAAACGTAGTTAGCTATCTCTACACATGTTTACACCGTAGTTTAAGTTGAATGTACGTATTTAGAAGATTAACATGGATTGGTATAAACGTAGTTAATCTAATCACAATGCATGTGTAATCATGTTACTCAGCTCATGTTTATCTATGTATGATATTAGCTACAAGCATACATTTAAATTGTCCTATCTCGTAATAAAAACAGTGCATATGAATTTAAAAGTAAAATAGTGACAAAACCAGTCAACCCCCCCCCCCTGACTCCCTTAAATACTCTAATGTCTGTGTAGGGGGGGGGGGCTTATTTTATGATTGAACCATTTTTTTTGCGCAGATTTCTGGGAATGCTATCGAAGGTGTCGTCTTTATAAACAAACGAACTCAAGAACAAGTTCTATCTCCACTAGAAAACTTCACCAGTGATAAAAACGACAAAAATACAAGGGATTCAAGGTAAAACTGTCCTCTTCTCATTTCACAAGTGAAAATATTATTTTTTTAGCGAGAAAAACAAGGATTTCTAATTCGTTCTTGATAAGACAAAAGTTACCGTGGTTAAATAGGAAATTTCAAAAATGACGTACAGGTGGTACAAGGGAGGGAAGGCTCCCCACACCCTTTTTTATCCGCGCCACAAATGACGTCAAAACTCACTATTATTTATTCCGACCACAGCCTTTTTTTTGTCCTGCATTGTTTAAATTATTTTTTAAGAACTTTAAACTATTCTTCATTTTCTAATAAAATGATGGAAACTTGTGAATTAGAGATTGAAATATATTTTAATTTTAACCTTTTCCGAGAAAACTATAAAATATTTACAGTAATTACATTCTTTGTCCAGTAAGTAGCGTTACTAGTTCAGGGGATATTAGTTCCCCAACGGGGGATTATGGCCCATTTCTTACACTTTAGAAATGGGATTGGATTAGAAGATTGGATTTTTAGGATCCCAGCCCCAGCAGGGGCGTATATAAGGATTTTCTAGGGGGATACATTTTTACGTTATTTTATCCCCCCCCCCCTAGTCCATGTACAACCCCATTAATGATGTATATCAAATTATTTGTTTTATCTTGGTTTGATTTCAATTTCCAAATTAAATCTGGGATGAACAAACTCTATCAACCTTTCACCTTTCACCTTTTCTTAAACCCCTATTTTAAGATTGCAAAGATAACGTAGCTGGAATGTGAACATCTTGCGCGGCAGTATTAATGAAGATACGTCTGCTTAATCTTGAAAAGGCATTTAATATTGAATTATGCGGGTCTATAAGAAAGGTCCCCGAACATTACACAATTAAGTTGGTAGTCAGTGTGTTGTCTAATGGTGTTTACTCTTTTATTTTATTCTGATTTTACTCCAATGATTTGTGATAAAGAAGTTTGATATAAAGTCATGATTCAACATTTGTTTAGACATTAGCTTTACCAGGGTTTTCCAGTGCAGACTTTTTTGTTGAAAAAAACATATTCGAAAATTTGAGTTACAACTGAAGATATGAAGTACTAAACTAGCTTGAAAAATTTGCGAAGCCCAGGTTACTTCTAGTTACTCCCGCCGTTTACCTGCACTTGGTGGAAAATCATGATTTTAGCTATTTTTGCCTTCAAAAGTCAATCCACTTAAAGGGAGTGTTCGCGAAAAATGAAAGGGGGTATATTCTTGTTTTCGAACATTCCTGGAAAATATGAAAATGTCGTCTTCATTACCAAAAATCCTCGAAATAGGAATAAATGTAACTCTCAGATCATAACAATTAAAACATATTATGAAAAATCAACTATATACAAATGTGGCGAAAGATAGTCGATGTCTATAGGGTGTAATATCTAAATGATTTTGTTATTTATTTAAAACTTTGCAAATTTTTTCTTTTTGCCAAACGCATACAGACACGACCATTTCAGCTTTCTAATTGAATTTCTTGACCAAAAAGCATTTATATTGATGTATATCATGCTTTTATTGATACAAATGGAAATTCTAACGCGCGCCCGCACAATCCACACAGATACGAATGTTTAAACTTCATATTTGCATTCTTTGACCAAAAAACATAAAATTTCATATGCATGATGCTTTTTTGATTTTTTCTGAAAATCGCGCGTGTGCGCCCGCTAAATTTATAAACATTTCTAAAATTTGAGATCGTAAATTGAATCCTTGCCTCATACCCAAAATGCATATCAAAAATGTGTAAATAGTTTTGTTCTGTATTAGTTTTTAGCATTTTTATTGTTTTAGAATTATTTTATTGTTTTAAAATTATTTTAATTAATACTTATTTTTTTACTTTTCATTTATTTTCAGGTGGACTGAGCTAATTTGCCAAGAATATGAAAACTCAAAACTATTATTTTATGATTTTAAAATTTTAAAAAAATAGTTTTTTGTTGTTTAAATACATTAAATGAAACTTGTTTTAACTCTTTAATCTAATGAATGTTATATTGATATACATTAACATATATCTTAAATACTTAAAGAATTTGAAATTACAAATTAAAATCATTCATTATTAGGAATAACTAGACTAAAAATAAAACTAAATATTTTGACCCTCTGTAGTTGAAATTAACTTTTAAAAATAGTTTAAGACGGAAATATATAAAAATATAAAACTGGAAATACTTTTGTTTAAATTAAATGAACTTTAAGTATTTATCTATATATAAATTTGGCTTGTCTGTCTGTTTGTCTGTCTGTCTGTCTGTCTGTTTGTATCCAATAAACGTCAAAACGGCTGAACCGATCGGGCCAAAAAATTTTTGTGGGGACATCTAGGGACCCCAGGGAAGGTTTATGAATGATCCAAATTTCAAATATTTGTCTCCATCAAAATTCGATCTTCATTAAATTTTTTAAAATTTTGAAATTTTTTGTGAAAATCCGCGAATTATTTTTGTTTTGTTTTACGATGTACACAAAGAGAGCATGTTCACAATTAATTTAGAAGATGGGCGCGAAGCGCCCTCTAAGGCTAGAAAGAAGGGCGCGAAGCGCCTTGAATTTCTAGTATTTTAAATTCTTCTTGTTACAGATTACATGGTGTTGTTAATCGTTTTTAGTTAAAAAAATTTAACAAAACTTGCAAGATTTTCAAACAGTATTATGTAAAAGTTTACTTAAATTACATTTCACATTATCTTTACCCTCAAAATTGAAAAACGATTGTCAGGTTTGTTTTTAAATTGCATAATTTTTGGATCGTTTCTTGCAAATATATTTTTGTATATATTTTTGCCATGGTCAAAATTTGAAGTGTAAAAAATTACAAAGTTTAGAATAAATGAAGCAGAAAAAATGTTCTCCTCCAGTACTTCGCCAAATTTGCACTCTGAAAGAAAATATAAGCAAAACTCATCCCAAATCAACCAGCTGAATTTTACGCAGGTTAATTTTTTTTCTTTGCTATATATCCCACGGTGGGCATACCCAGTAGGGATAACTAAAATGAAGGGATTAATCGTTTATCTGCTGTTCAAAAGTGTCCATATTGGATATCGAGATCAAGAGTCAAGGCTAATGATATTAAACACAAAAGTTTCAACCTCAGCCAACATTTTTTATTCGCAGGTTTCGTTGATTTTCTGTTTTTTATGGATTTTCTAAAATCAAAATTTTCGAGGCAACATTTTAAATTTATAGCCTGGGTTGAACAGTCCACTCGTTTTGACCTTTATAGAATACAAACAAAACAAACTAATTTTTTATTAGAAAATATACCTTTCAAGTTTTTGGCAGTTTTGATGAAATTGCTCAAATTCTCCAATACTTTATTTTTTTTGGATATCATTTTTTTTAATTTGAGAAATTTTTTAATTTCTTAAAAAATTATTTAGATTTTTGCTTTTTTGTCATTTGGTTCAGCAATACAGTAATTAAGCGAGCAATTCTTTTTTTAAAGTATCAAAATGGGCATCAAATACGTCTTAAAACAAAACTGGGAAAAAAATCAAAATTGTTCAAAGTTCCTTAAAAATCAAACTTGTTTTGTAGAAAAACATTTTTAAAAAGCCCTTGAACCAGCGAATTCAAAACTGCAAAAACATTTGCAAAATGTTTAAAACCTAAATGTGAATTCAAGAAAATCTGAAAATGTTCAAATTCCCTGTGAAAAATCTGTGCAAAATTTTCTGCAAAAATGGTACAATCTGCTTTTTTTTTATAGGCTTTCCAAAAAGTTTTAAAATGTTGAAATCCAATTACTAGAAGTAAGTTTAAATATAGATTTAGTCTGGTATAGGTAAATTAAGGCATTTAGACCCCCCCCTCCCCCCGACCACATTGGGTTAAACAGTTTTGAAATAAAGAGAAGCGCATAAAATCTATATTTAGCGGTTTAAAAAAAAAAATATCAATCTTTCTAATGAATAATGTTTTTTTATTTGTTAATTATACTAAATCAAATTTGGAATTAAAATTTTTTTCTTTAACAATTTTCTACTGTGTAATATTCTGTTGGTGCAAAAATGGTTTGACATTTGTGATTAAAAAGATTCACCCGTACTTAAAGGGGATTAAAAGTTCTTTTAAGAGTTTGGGTGCATCAAGATTTTTATTTTAAAAAGATTAAAAAAATCCTTCTCTTAGGATGCAATCAATGAAGCTTATTTAGAAATAATTTATTGTAACAAATAACAAATAGTTTACACTTATATAGATTATTAAATTTTACATCATCATAACATTTCAATTTTTGTCGATTTGTCTACGACTGTACATTTTTTTATGCTAGAAGAAAAATGAACATTTACATTTTACATTACATGCAATAGAAACATTTTTTGCGAGTTGTCTAATGATTATATATTTCTTTTTTCAACAATATTAACATTTTTTAGGCAAATAATCTATTATTCTAAAATTAGTTTCAGTGCATTAACATTTATTTGGCAACTTGTCTATAATTTAATATTTAAGGTTACAACTATATTAATATTTTTTTTTATGTGGATCGTCTGTAATCAACTATTTTTACAATTATAAATTGAAGTTTTTCATCTCACGATTTTGTCTTTTTCGATTATTTCAAACATTTGAGAATTGTATTCTGTAAAAGATTGTTAAAACTTCGCAACATTTAAATCCAAATTTTTACCAGGATCCAAATTGATAAAATGCAGTATAAGAACAGCAAATGTTGTGAATAATTTTTAAATAAGCAAAACTTTTTTTTTTACCTATTAAAGGTCCAAAAATCTTAAAACTTTTTCAAAACGAACCAATGACCAGAAATCTATGAGAATTTTGACAATTACTTCTTAGAAAATAGAAATCAAAACAAGTGCTCTGTATTTTTAAAATATCCATTTCAATGCTTATAAATTGACGCAATTTTTCAAACAATCTGGATATTTTACTCTTAAGATTAGATACAACCTTTTCCACCGGCTTTTATTCACAGGGCATTATTATATGAGTTATTTTTAAGCGACCCATATAAAATAGTTTTATGAAAAAGTTTACCTGGAGATATTCCAGTTAGTTGAATAAAATCAAAATTGTTAACATTTTTAATATCTCTGGGACAAAAAAGTTTTTTTTTGGGACATCTGGCATAATTCATAATCATAATACATAAATGAATAAGTATATAAGAGACACAATTGACACGTCTTTGTATTTATGTTCAAATGCGTAAGAAACGAATTTTTCAAAGTGCACTTTGAACACATTTTCAGTTCGTGTTTAAATGCATTTTACACGAGCTCATTATTATTATTATTAATATTACTTTTATTATTATTATTATACAGTTTTAAGGTGTTTCTGACTTCTTATAAAGCACCAAACAGCCTGTTTACAGAGTAAGAAGTCGATATTCAGTAATGTAAAAGAGTAAAACAGTGGACAGTAATTTGGAAAGACAAACTCAGCGGTAGCGAATGAACGAGAAGTTGAGATCAAGTCAAGACTATACGACGTAGTTCAGAATGAGAAATGCTATTATTTTCAATTTCAACCTCTAAATCCATATTCTTCAGGTGAAATTTTTTGCTCTTAAACGTTGGCACTGAGATTTTTAGGTCTCAAGCTCTCATGCAAAAATGAAGTTAAAAACAACACTAACAACAAGTGCTCTATAGAGCTAAAATGTACATGTACAGGGCTACAGAAAATCAAAAGAGAGTTAGAGCGGTAAAATCAAAGCGGGCGACACTTCAAAGTCGACCCTGCCTTAAAAATTTATAAGCAGGCTGAACCTATGTGCTGGGTTTCACGTTTTTACATATATTTGTTAGCTATATGAAATTGTGTTTGTAGCAGTTGAAGACAAAAAAAAATAAAAGCTATGAAATTTTAATGAAATCTTGTATATTTTTAGTTCTTAAAGGAAAGAGAATTTTACTAAAAATTTAATTCCAGTGGTTAAAAAAAAAGTATTTGTGTTTCCAGGGTCCGTTTAAGGCATACAATTTATCAAAAAAGTCATTTTTCATTTTTTATTTAATGTCTACCGCTGAAGTTTTTCTTTTTCTCCAAAGAATATATCATTGAATTAACTCGACTTCTGTTTATAAAATGTAACATATTCAATTCTGAAACTTACTTCAGTCTGAAACTTATTTTAGTCTGAAACATATTCCAGTTTGAAACATACTCCAGTCTGAAACATACTCCAGTCTGAAACTTACTTCAGTCTGAAACATACTTCAGTCTGAAACATACTCCAGTCTGAAACATACTCCAGTCTGAAACATACTCAAATCTGAAACATACTTCAGTCTGAAACATACTCCAATCTGAAACATACTCCAGTCTGAAACATACTCCAGTCTGAAGCATACTTCAGTCTGAAACATACTCCAGTCTGAAACATACTCCAGTCTGAAACATACTTCAGTCTGAAACATACTCCAGTCTGAAACATACTTCAGTCTGAAATATACTCAGCAGTCTGAAACATACTTCAGTCTGAAATATACTCAGCAGTCTGAAACATATTTCAGTCTGAAACATACTCCAGTCTTAAACATACTCGGCAGTCTGAAACATATTCCAGTCTGAAACATACTCCAGTCTGAAACATACTCCAGTCTGAAACATACTCTACAGTCTGAAACATACTCCAGTACCACGCATTCACTAACCAGACAGTGATGTAACAAACTCTGTGTTTTGCCTAAAAATTAAATAGTTTCATGTTTTTATTTTACAAAAAATCGTTCTACTAACCTTCCTCATCACTCTAAATTTAATTTTTCACTTTTTCCATATATCATCGATAGTCAAATCATCGACTTTTGAGTTATATAACTATTTTGAAAATCGAAAACGAAGTTTGACCCATGCATGGAGAGGTTTTTTAGAAAATAGCTTTGTAAAATGTCTGGCCTACAATTAGAAGCATGAACCCGGTAGTGATTTTGTATTGTCTCTTTCACTTTTTTAGTTTGGCATTTGTGACTAAAATATCTTTTGAAACAGAGCCCTGTACATCCTTAGAGATACACTTTTTGCAACAATTACAAAGGAACTGAGTTTCTGCCACAAACACAAGTTTTCTAATCCTTATATCTTTAAACCTGATGATTTTAAACTTCGGTTATGTGATCTAACATAATTCATAGTTTGAAATATCAAGGTCTACGACATCGGCTTGAAAAAATATGTAGATGACAAAATTAGAATTTGTAACAAAAACTCATTTTCATTCAACATTTTGGCGAAATTACTTTTTCAAGAAAAAATACAGACGACATTCGTTCACCATTTTCTGGTTCTCACTTTAGAATCCACTTTTAAAATTTTTTGAATATGTTCTCACCTATGCTGGGCAGAGACTGATCTAGTTTGTTCTACTTTGTTTATATTGTTCCAACCATGATTTGACAAACTAAAAATATAATTTAGATAAAATATACGGAAACTATCATATTTATTCTTTATTAACCCTATTTAGCCTGACGTCTGGTTTCATGACTTGCTGCCTGGGGGGGGGGGAGGAATTGCATATTAGGCAGAAAAATGATCCAAGAATTTAATGTTTTAAGAAAAATCATCTCAGATCCAGGGAACTTATATAAATGTATGTTCTAATTGTTCATTTAAACCGGAATTTCTGCCAATTGCCTACGAAGTACTGATAGGATGGGAACCTATAAGTAGGAAGACTAAGTGAACCTCCAATTATTGTACTGAACCCTATTCTGACAGAGGGTTGAAATATTGAACTGGCTTCGGTACTTTAAGGAGGTCAAATCATAACGTTATAGGAATATTATTGATGAACCTCTCTATTGAACTGAGTAGAGTATTAAAACATTGAATTTTAGAACAGAAATTTAATTATTATTTAAAATTAGATGATGTCTATAAGTACTTAATGCGAACCACTAACTCTACTGAACCCTCTTCCAGATCGATCTTTCGTTAACGTGAACTTTTCATGATAAACGTACTTTTTTCTTTTTTATTAAAAATTATAAACTTAATTGTTTTTTTTCAGAATCAATTTCTTCATAATAGTATAATCAACATAGGAATTGTTTGATAAGAATTTAATCAATACATTTTTTGTAGATGTAGATGCCCAAATAGTTGATAACGAAAATATTAAAACCTTTATCTGAGTAACACCGAGGAAGATAAACCTTCTTTGCCCATCTTCAAACGAGATAAAATTCGTCTGTGCTGAATAAAGCAGCTTGTAAGAAGAAATTCTTAGATACAAAAATTGTATGAATAATCAGATGAAACCAGCAGCTGCTCCTGGTTTTTGTAATCTCTTTTTTATTAAAATCTCCATTTTCTTGTTCTTGTTTTGACCATATTTCAGCTGATTTTGAAAAAGAAATAAATTGTTATATGATGACATCTAGTTTGCAGGATTAGAACTATGCTTCTTAGATTTATAAACAATGATTTTTTGTTCAGAGAAAGTAGAATAGAAACTTAACTAGTACGTCGTTAAATTTAACACACCAAAAACAACAACATCATAATATCTGTTTAGAGCAGTTTTCTGATGTGGGATACTCATATTCCCGATCAACTACTCTCGATATCCAATGTAGGTACATTTAATTCGAGGATCTATAAAAACGACACCATTTTTTAGATATTCCTTTCTTGAGCTGAGCTTCAGCTGTAACCCCTAACTGGGAACGATTACCATGCGAGATATTGAAGAGGGAAAACATGAATTTGCAGATTAGGAAAAGCTCAAGATCAAGCATTAAAGTTAATATCAAGAATACAAGAGTTCCCAGATTGTGCTGTCTTATGTTTACCTCATTTGAGGAGGAGCCTGAGCTAGAGTAATTGCAGTTTGTAGGCTGGGGTCACCACTGTCTCCTCAGTACGGTGCATGTTTGTACCATGCATGTTGGTACTATGTATGCTTGTACTGTATATGTTTGTCTTGTGTATGTTTGTACTGTGTATTTTTGTACTGTGTATGTTTATACAGTGTATATTCGTACTGTGTATGTTTGTACTGTGTATATTTGTAGTGTATATTTGTACTGTGTATGTTTGTACTGTGTATGTTTGTACTGTGTATGTTTGTACTGTGTATATTTGTACTGTGTATATTTGTAATGTGTATATTTGTACTGTACTTTTAAATACAAGAATGAATAATTTATATGTTGAAGGATTCGATAATTACGTAATAACTGAAATGATAAATATGTTATGAAATGAGTAAAAATCAATGTTTTCTATTTGTGCATAATTTTGCATATTTTTTCTCTTTTTTTTGGAAACCTGTATTTAAAAAAAAATTATTTAAACAAATTTAAACTACACCATTTATATATGTATTTATATCTTCGTGTGTGAATACATCTTTATAATATAATACATGTTTCAGACTGGAATATGATTCAGAATGGAGTATGTTTCAGGCTGGAGTATGTTTCAGACTGGAGTATGTTTCAGACTGGAGTATGTTTAAGACTGGAGTATGTTTCAGATTGGAGTATGTTTCACACTGGAGTATGTTTCAGCCTGGAATATGATTCAGAATGGAGTATGTTTCAGACTGGAGTATGTTTCAGACTGGAGTATGTTTCAGACTGGAGTATGTTTCAGACTGGAGTATGTTTCAGACTGGAGCATGTTTCAGACTGGAGTATGTTTCATACTGGAGTATGTTTCAGACTGGAGTATGTTTCAGACTGGAGTATGTTTCAGACTGGAGTATGATTCAGACTGGAGTTTGTTTCAGACTGGAGTATGATTCAGACTGGAGTTTGTTTCAGACTGGAGTTTGTTTCAGACTGGAGTATGTTTCAGACTGGAGTATGTTTCAGACTGGAGTATGTTTCAAACTGGAGTATGATTCAGACTGGAGTATGTTTCAGACTGGAGTATGATTCAGACTGGAGTATGTTTCAGACTGAAGTATGATTCAGACTGATGTATGATTCAGACTGAAGTATTATTCAAAATGAAGTATGTTACATTTTATCAACAGAAGTCTAAAAATGTTTCAATCTGATATCATATTGAAATTTTAAATACTGTAAAATTTAATTAAAAAGAATTATTAAAGATAAAAATATTTGTACTTATATGTGTGTCTTGTGTATATTTGTACTATGTTTATTTGTACTGTGTATTGGTGTATTGGTGTACTCTTTATGTCTGTACTATATACGTGTACTGGGTATTGCTGTATTCTTTATGTTTGTACTGTTTATATTTGTACTGTGTATGGTTGTACTGTTTATGTTTGTACTGTGTATGTTTGTACTGTGTATGGTTGTACTATGTATGTTTGTACTGTGTATGTTTGTACTGTGTATGTTTGTACTGTGTCTGATTGTACTGTGTCTAATTTTACTATGTATGTTTGTACTGTGTATGTTTGTACTGCGTATGTTTGTACTGTTTATGTTTGTACTGTGTATGTTTGTACTGTGTATGGTTGAACTATGTATGTTTGTACTGTGTATGTTTGTAGTGTGTATGTTTGTACTGTGTCTGATTGTACTGTGTCTAATTGTACTGTGTATGTTTGTACTGTGTACGTTTGTACTGTGTATGTTTGTGCTGTGTCTGATTGAACTGTGTATGTTTGTAATGTGTATTTTTGTACTCTGTATGCTTTTACTGTGTACGCTTGTACTGTGTCTTGGTGTACTGTGTATGTTTGTACTGTGTATGTTTTTACTGTGTATATTTGTACTGTGTTTGTTTGTGCTGTGTTTGATTGTACTGTGTATGTTTGTATTGTGTAAATGTGTACTGTGTATATTTGTACTGTGTATGTCTTTACTGTGTATGTTTGCACTGTTTCTGATTGTACTGTGTCTGTTTGTACTGTGTATGTTTGCACTGTGTATGTTTTTGCTGTGTCTGATTGTACTCTGTATGTTTGTATTGTGTATGTTGTACTGTGTATATTTGTACTGTGTATGTCTGTACTGTGTATGTTTGTACTGTGTATGTTTGTTCTGTGTATGTTTGTACTGTGTATGGGTGTACTGTGTATGGTTGTACTATGTATGTTTGTACTGTGTATGTTTGTACTGTGTATGTTTGTACTGTGTCTGATTGTACTGTGTCTAATTGTACTATGTATGTTTGTACTGTGTATGTTTGTACTGTGTATGTTTGTACTGTGTATGTTTTTACTGTGTATATTTGTACTGTGTATGTTTGTGCTGTGTCTGATTGTCTGATTGTACTGTGTTTGTTTGTACTGTGTAAATTTGTACTGTGTATGTTTTTGCTGTGTCTGATTGTACTCTGTATGTTTGTATTGTGTATGTTGTACTGTGTATATTTGTACTGTGTATGTCTGTACTGTGTATGTTTGTACTGTGTATG